TAGTTGCCGGAGTACTTTGCGGATAATTGCTGCTATAAATAAGATTCTTCTTAAAGGTTCTTGTTCTTTTTCTCAATGTTTAATAAAATTCAAGGAAGCTCTATAAAATCTAAATGTATTAAAAGGATATAATTATTTTTTATTAAAATAACGTATTATTATAAATCGATATTAATCAATCAATTAAAATATTTAGATTCTTCTCAAAGCGTTTGGTATTTTCTTATATAATTCTAAAAAGAAGAAAATAGAAAACTGTTAGCGTTGCTTTGCCAGCCAAGTCTGTGGACCCGAGGGTCGATAGTAAATTTGATAGGTTAAAATATAGCTATAACTCACTTAAGTGTTGTAAAATTGACTTTCGAAACTAAAAAATAATATTATTACTATCGACTGCTTACTGCAATTTTCATATGATTCAATAATGTATCATATAGTTTTTAAGATAGTCTATCATATAATTTTCTGTAAAAACCTACGTAGCATAATTTGAAGTTATTTAAAAAATAAAATGATTAGGTAACAAAATTTCAAAATACAGTTTACATTAAAAAAAAAAGTTATTTTAACAAGTTATTGACAATAGAAAATAAAAACAATCAAAAGTGGTAGACAGGTAGTATCTTTTAGTTTTGTGCGCAAATTGTAAAAAAGCTTAACACTACAACTGACATTATTTTTTAGTTCTTTTTGTTGAAATTTTCATTTCATACTTTTGATTAATAAAATTTATTTCCCCAGAACCAGTATAAAGATGAGTGTGAAGATCAAAAGAACAAACTAGACTTACTTATTAAAAAATCGATTGACAATTCCTTTATAATCACTATCAGTGAGCAATTGCCATTCTAATTTAGTCATTCCATTAATGCCAAAAAGTTAGTTTCCTTCAAACTAGTGTCTTCCGTCTCTCAGAATCTGGGTTCGATTTCCCACAAAATAGGCACAAAGTAGAAAGTGCAATTTTCTACTTATATTAATCTATAGTCTTGCGGTATGGAAGACATCTTTATTCAGATTTCCGAATTAAATGGCTTTATTACGGACCCGAAAGCCTAGTCCCCTGCTTCAAAATTCAGTTAACTACACAACTCACTCTTCAAAATACATAACTACATACTTTTTAAAATTGCATTTAAAAATCATTGTACGAATAATTATTTACTAAAAATTTGAGAATATATAAAAAGCCGTTTATTAGTAAAACGACTAAAGCTTTAAATGGTGTAAACAGATTGTTACACAATTATTTATATCACCATAAAACTGTAAACATCGTATGTTTTTAATCTAATCACACAATTAGATTATGTATGAAAAACCTACTTATATTACCTACATAGGTAACATGTGGTGTTGATCCGGAACGTTACGTCCGTTAGTGATAAATTTTTGTTTTACCATCGTACTCGAATTGCAATCTATACCAATATTATAAAGATAAAAGATTTGATTGTTTGTTTGTATATTTGTTTGCATCGAATAGGCTCCGAATCGGTCCATTAGCCGATTTTAAAAATTCACCTACGGGGTTGACATGGGGCTATAATGCACGCGTGTGAAATATTAGGTAGTATAACTTCCGCGCATAAAGCTAGTGCATCCAAATAGGTATGACAACTGGGTAAAAAAAATGCAATTTTATTTAGTCCGTCAGTCAAATAATAGAAAAAATAGTAGATACGTATTTTTTTTTACTTCAATTTAACAAGAAATAGCTTAGATAACAGGCATTAAAGTTGAGGAGTTGGAGCTCGCTACGTCACAGTTGAGTAGAAAACGTACCATAACGTGACGTACGTACCATCACGCGAAATTGCAACTCCATGTAACGCCGTAATTTTATGATTACGAAAAAATAAAAAAATACGTGTTTAATATTTTTTAACACTCTACCTGACGGACAAACTAACAAAAATTAGTCATCATTCCTATTCCACGAAAAATCCCCACGCGCACAAAAGTAAATACATGGTAGGTACGTTGTATATTATTACATTTTACTCTGACGTGGAGCTTCATAAAGAGTTATTAGATAATAATTCGTATAGGAAAAAAAAGGAAAGCACACAACCTTGTGAGAGAAAACTATCTTAATTTTGTAATAATATACCCCTTCGAAATGATATGATATGATATATTTTGTAATACCGACGGTAGGTAAATTAAACCTAATATAGGAATAAACGTGCATAGCCCGCCCCACAAGACCTAACGCTACAGTAGCGCCTCAAGCGGTCAATTCAAACACGATAGCTACCCTTGAATTACGTACGTGTATTTCTTTGCGAGCGGGCGGTCGGTGTACTAACATCAGTCTTGCATATAAATTTGGGTATAAAAGCACTGTGAATACTATGATAAAAGTTTCGAAGTATGTTAGTTTCATAGTAAAGGCTATACCTGTAGTAAAACCAAGAGTTGACTGCACCAATTGCATCGACTTAGAGAGTTTATGGAAAGGTCCTAAAATACTTTCCACTACTTATAAAACATTTTAATGAGATCATATATGTCATATGACATATAACGGGTATTGTTATAATCAATAGTACTTACTTAATTTTGAAATATTATACATAATACTTAAAAACGTATTTCAAGTGTTTACAAAAATTGCATTTTTGCGCCGATGAACGAGTTATCATAATTTATTTTTATTGGAAATTGTTATTGGCGATGCGTTTGTAGTTAATTGGACAATAAGATAAGACTGCACTTTTCGTGATTGTAAGTCAATTGAGTCATAATTCTATTTTTACGATGTAGATTCTTTTGCGACGTTCGACTTTCAAACAACTTTGTGTCGATTAAGTTACAAAAACAAATAGGTACATAATTAATATTAAATAAACCTACACTATATATTAAATCGTCTTGTTAAAACTGTGCAATTCTATAAACGCATAAATTAATAACTTGTAATATGCTCCCGCATAGGTACTTTATTATAATAACTCCCGGAAGTACTATGACAAAATATTGGAATAACATAATTAGGATTATAACATGATCCAAAAATTTTCAATTTCATGCTAGAATAGATGATAATTGACTAATCAATTTAAGAATATAGATACAAAGAGCTTATAATATTAATGTTGATTTCTTATATTTTCACGAGCACTATTCGTATTCATTAAATGAGACAACTTTAAACGGTTTATTAGTACTTTAGTAACTTCATTCTTAATTGAAAAATACAATCGACACCTTAGTCTTAGTGATCACGGATCCTGTAAAGAGTCCATTAGCAAAATGAAAGAAAATATAGACGCGCTAAAACCGTTTAGTTGTTTCATTTAATAAAGGTAGACACGAGATTTTTTAAATTATTTAGTAAATCAAAAAATAAAATGGATCATTTTAATGATTAACGAAATCTTACAACTTAAACAGAATTGTAACAAAACGTGAAACTATTTTTTTGGGAGTAGAAAAGTAATAAAAAGTTCTGCTGACTATATTGTGCGATAAAGATAATATCAAATGAAAGGATATCTGCTACGAGAATCTCAAAATTTAAGAAACTACATAAAATTTTAAGTATTTATAGATTACAGAAGAATCTATAGAGCATGGTAAAATTGGTCTTCTTTGCACCAGTGCGACTCACAATCTGATAATACAATTATCACGATAGAAATTGTTAGATATTGGATATATGTGATTCATGTCAAGAAAATGCACTTGATGCAGGCTGAACAACATGTAACAAAACAGAGGCATGACATAATATTGACCGGTCGAACAAATCGAATGATAATAAATTCGTAACTGGATGTTGACCTGTAAAATCAGACAGTCAGATGAGCGTGCATATTATTCGATATAAAATTATCCCAATACACATATTTCGCTTTTTAATATCACAAAAAAGAGTCAAAATATTATACAACATTATATATTGGCCATCACCAGCGGTTTTTACAGGCGAGGCAGTGTTTTCACTCCTTATATAATATATTATATTTCGTACACATATACAAGGGTCAAGCAAATAGTTCTGAGTAAATAAAAAAGTGAGAAAATTACTTAATGTATTGCTGCATCTGATGGAAACACTGAGAAAAGCAATTTGCCCTCTCATCCTAAGGGACTCTTCGACAACTTCGTTGTACAAATCTACTGACAGATCAGTCTTTTCTCGATCTCAATTATACACCGTATAACATGGATGTTTTCTTTGGTCGTCCCCGTAAAAGATCGTCCCTCACACTCGCACAGATTATTGGTGAAAAAATGCGACCACATTAGGGGCTTATTATGCAATTGAACACAGTGACACAAGATGAGGCTTCATTATGAAAGGACAATTAAAGTATATAAGAAAATTTAAATATAACTATCTTGTTGAAACTATATAGATATCGCATGTCATTATACACAATTTCGAATTTGCGAAACACATACTATATTCAAAAAACCATACGTAGTGGTAAGGTGGAGTGTAAATAGACGAGAGCTAGCTCAAATTAAAAAAAAAGTAAAAGACATAACGCTCAATAAAAATTAGATTTTCTCTAGAGTACATTTGCTAGAACTCGTTATAACAATAGAGAGCACCTACTCACAGACTTATTATTACCATCGGAATACGACCCTCTGCTAGTTGACACTGTCCAAAATTATATTAATCTACTGTGATTTAATTATTGATTAAAAATTATTTGTTTATGATAAAATTCATGCAAACGTGTAAGCGGAACAAAAATTTATGACGCGTTGTGGAACAATACAAATGACGAACTGTACCTTATTTAAGCCAGCAAGGCGTTTAAGAGGTTTTAGGTTGACATGCAACCTCTTTTTTAAGTTCGTAGCGCCCGCGGCGGTGACATAGAGCAGCAGACTCCAGAATGCATACCAGATATTCCCTTTAGTAATGTACTCCGTTGGAAATAAACAGAAAAGTGTTACGAGGCTAGCTAGTCCATATTTTTTACCAATATAGGATTATGGAAATTAATAAAAACTAAATAAGATCTGTTTTTCAACAGCGGCGGGAGCTAGCTCAGACATGGGAAGTGAGCACTATTGCCTAAGGTGGAACAATCATCAGAGCAACCTTCTGGGTGTATTCAGCCAGTTGCTACACGACGAAAGCTTAGTGGACGTAACTCTCGCTTGCTCGGAAGGCGCCTCCATTAGGGCTCACAAGGTATGTATTTAAAGATTTCTACCGGTTTCTATTTGCTTATTGTCCTAAAAACATTAATTTGGTATATGTTTGTCCTAAGCATATGTAGGTCGACAACACTTAGTGCTCTACAAGTGGACATGCCATGGTTTTCTAAAAGGTGCTTATAAAGATTTTTAAACACTTAAAAATGTATTTTTCACTTATTTAAGACTTGTTATTGGCCATTTCAACTTGATCTTACCTACCACGCAAACTAGATGAGAAATAGTGGGCGACTTGAAGTAGTCGGTACCGAAGGCTTTAACGTGTAGTCGGTACCGAAGGCTTAACGTGACTCCAAAATCATCAGAATTTTTCGGCTTCTGTGAAGTTTGTTTACATACCTGCATTCGTACTTTTTATTCTGGTACACTAGCGCTAGAATATGCCAGTGTACCCAATCAAGAGTACGAAACGGCGCAATTGCAATGTCGATCGCGATTGCGTTCGAGAGTAAGCATGGTGAACTTAACAAGTACTTTGTTATAGCAATGATAATATGTACAACGATATGTTTATCACCATTAAACATTAATAAGTAGCTAAGTTCAGACCTTAAAATTTCGGATTATCTCTATATATATAAAATTCTCGAATCGGCCAACATCTATTTTTCATACCCCTTAGTGATAAGGGTTGCGAGAAACCAACTTCCACGCGGACGAAGTCGCGGGCGGCCACTAGTATATTTCATCACATAGTAAAAGCGTGTCATAGGACCTTTTGTTTTATTTATCTAGCAAACACATTTATAACTTTGAATGTATATGTAAGGTCATATGGTTCCAGGTAGTACTGTCAGCGTGCTCATCATACTTTCGTTCGCTTTTCGTGGACCATCCGTCGCGTCACCCCATAGTGATTTTGAAGGACGTGGGCTTAGAGGAGCTGAGGACTCTGGTCGACTTCATGTACAAAGGCGAAGTCAACGTTCAATACTGTCAACTACCAGCGCTATTGAAAACTGCTGAGAGCCTTCAAGTTAGTATAGATTTATGTACCTATTCCATTGAAGAAAAAAAGCAGATTTAGCTATGCAAATGATATAAAATAAATATTATTCAACATTACATGAAGGTATTATATATTATACTTATTATTATTTATAATTATACTTATATTTGTACACCCAAACTAGATAACTTAATTATTTATATGATAAAAGAAAATATTGAAATTTAACCCAAACAACTAATATTAATATAATAGAAAAAAATGATACTAATATTGGTTAAAAAAATATCTATTGTAAATTTGATTAACGAAATACCCTTTTACCACAGATTAATAGAATACGGGTGTAGACAGTAAACGAAAATGAACATATATATATTTTTGGTAGTGTTTAATATACTATTACCGATAATCACACCTTCATGATTTTTATATTTATAATATTTTTAATTTTTATGAAAAAATCAAATATTTTATAATCACACGCACGCACGTGAACGCATACAGCGCGCGACGCAAAGCCCCTCTTACTCATATCAGAACTTAAGGAATTAAACATTATTATAAATTAATTATAATAAATTAAATAATATTAGTAGCTCGGTGGCGTAGTGGATAAGCGCCGCGGCCCGCGATCGTTGTCGTTAAGCAACTTTCGCAAGGGTCGGTCACGGGATGGGTGACCAAAAAATTATTATCTCGAGCTACTCCGTGCTTCGGAAGGCACGTTAAGCCGTTGGTCCCGGCTGCATTTGCAGTCGTTAATACCCTCCAATCCGCATTGGGCCAGCGTGGAGGGTCATGGCCCATTCTCCTTAACCATCCATAAGGAAGGCCTGAGCCCCTGCAGTGGGGACGTAAAAGGGCTGGTGATATAAATAATATTCATATAACGATATTAGTTTATAATTTAAACTATTTCAATTGTGTAGTTAATGAGTATTACTTAACAGAATTCTTAACTACTGAGCTTGTTTCTTTCTATAGCTTTTATTTAGCTTTTATTTAAGTTATTTCTTTCTGTATTTTAAAAAAATTGTTTTTACGCTCTGTTTTGCTTTTGTTTTTTTTTTATTATATACTTTTTAGTTACGATTCGTTGACTTCGTTATAAGATGGTAAATTTCGCAATCTAGTCATTCCATTGAGGGAGTTAATATCGTGGGGATTATTAAGTAACTTGCGGTGGTCTAAACTATTGATGATTAGTCCCTCTAGAGACCTAACTCGGCTCAAAGCTACATATCAATCTATCGTGCAAATATTCTATTTCTAATGTCACACTAATTATATAAAGAAAAAAAAACATATAATTTAGGTTTGATTACAATGTCCGTCATATTACCCAAAAACAATATAAAATTCTACAATGTCATATACAATTAACATACACAAACTTGTCAATATAAATCAAAGATATTATTTTTTTTTTTTTTATTGGAGTTATTTGGCATTCAAGTATTCATTCGAATAGTATCCTCGTTCTTCAAGCCAATAGCATAATGAATTTTTAAATATATTTTTTGCATATGGAAGTTTCCTAATATTTTGTGGCATCTTATTATATACTTTAAAAGCCATACAGTATAATTTTTTGCTAAAGAGGGTTAAATTAATTTTCGGTAAACATAATTTATTTTTACTGGAAGCACGAGCGCCTTTATTTCGTTGTTCGTGTGTGACAAAATATTCGGGGTAATGTTTTACAAAGAGGCACATCTCTGCTATATACATGCATGGTAATGTTGCAGCATATGCTTGACCTATAACAAAAAGTTTTTTTTTTTTTACCAAAAATATTTGTTCTTCATACTTTTTCACTGTTTTTTTGTATGTATATCGTTTATACTTTAAATAAAAACATAAATCAATAAGTAAGAAAATTAGCGAGAATGATTGTTTTGTTAAACAACTTTTAATCGTTATATATCCTAAACTATTATTTAAGTTATATATCCTAACCTAAAGATGATTTTAAAATACCTAGTCAACGACACCCCACTTGACATAGTTCAACGTTTTTTTTTTTATTTTAACAATATAGCGATTACTGTCATGTCTTTAGTGACACTCGCAAGGTTAAGACGAATCAATTGACGTAAGAATCATCAAAATCGGCCTACGCATTTAGTCTCTACAACACCACATAGAAACAAAAATACAAACATACATAGACTGATAAACACATTACCCTCCTTTGCGTCGCACAGTCGGGTAAAAAGGGGCGAGACGTCATAGCGACGCCATGGCGACGCCATAACAGAAGTTTGTATTTTCGAGGGAAAATTTGATAATTATATTTATTTTGTAGATATAAACTTATTATATGAATGATACCTTTATTTTTATATAACGTTGCCTACAGTCCTATTTTCAATAGTACATTTTAAAATATGTAATTATTTAAGCTCTTTTTAATGTGTGTATTTCTGTTTTCAATTTAAGGTCAAAGGACTAGCAGAAATGACTACTTTAAGCGCAGCTGGCATCGACACAAGAAACGTTCCGGAACCAATGGAGGAGTGCCAATCACAAGACACTGAGTGTCAAGAACAGTCCGACAAATTAGAAAAGAGAGAAACTCGAGAAACAAAAGAAGAAAGACGAGATTCCAAAGAACCAAGAGACATGAGAGAAAGGGATAACAAAGACAGTCGTGAGTTAAGAGACAGTCATTTACGGGAAGCCCGCGACGCAAGAGATTCCCGGGAGCAGAGAGAGCAAAGAGAACTTCGTTCTGTTGATATACGAGATTCACGGGAAATCCGCGATATAAGAGAATCAAGGGAGCCACGTGAAATAAGGGATCATAGAGAATCCCGAGAATCTAGAGATATTAGGGAGTCACGTGAATTACGAGACTTTAGAGATACTCGGGATCCAAGAGAGCCACCTGAAGCTTCGCCCCCTAGAATATCTCCTTTACTTTCTGTTCGGAGGTTTCGACCAGAGGTTTCAGCTGAAACACCAACTACGACGCATCCTCCTTTACCAAAAGATGAACCCCCTGACGAACCAATGCGAGCATCTTCGCCAGAGGAAGATACTGTTTCAGTAAGATCCAATGGCGCTCAAAATGAAAGCATTGGTAAGTTTTTTTTAAAATGTAATTTCAATTAATTTTATATATGAAAATCTTTGTGCAATTTTTTAAGAATGAACATTAGTTAACTACATGACAGTACCTATATTTTTTATGAAAAGTTTTTTTTACTATAGATACTTTTGAAACATATTTACTAAAATATGTATTTAATATTACCCTATTATTTAGCACTGTTGTTGAAAATGAAAATCAACAAGATTTACTTGGAGTCGTTAAAATAGTGTTTTTCTTTGTATAAACCTTTTTCTGTTCTGTGGTATAAACTTTCATATAAGTTTACATATTAAAAGTCTTCCCCCAAAATAAGCGTAAGATTAAGGATAATTCTTTCGTAAAAACTTTATATTTGTAAATCGATTCCGAAAACAACTTTGGATAGAAAAAATATCGCATCATTCTATACCATACCAACAATCAATGAGATTAAACCGAGGTGCAATTATTAATGAGGAAGTATTTAAAAAACAAACTAGAAGTCGTCGGTTTTCTTTCATGTATAAAAGTTAATCAATTTTTAAAAACTCAATAAACATCTAATATTTTATTTGTACTTTTTCGTATTTGTATTGATATCTAAGTTTCGAAACTTAAAAGGAACAGAAATGATTATCTTTGGTCCATTCATTTCCTGCAAAAATCAACTTGCTAGAGTCGCCATCTAGTCAGATGCTTTATAGTGCGTTCTTTTTTTTCTTAAAATATTTCCTCATTCCCAAGCGCACACACAACCCATATAATGTCGAACAACGTTTGAATACGGCTGTATGAGCATGATGCGTATGCTTATTTAAAGTAATAACTGATACGATAACGTTGACATTGACATTGACGGTAATGACAAATAATGGAGGAAGAAGTTTGTGAAAAAAACAAATAGTTTGTTTTTAATAGAAAGACTGAATTAAAATGTACTGTTTCTTAGCAATAATAATTGCGATTATATTTGCCATCGTTTATATTCTACTTATTGCGAAAGGGATCACTTAAGGTACAGTTAGGACAACTGAAAAATGGTTAATTTCATTTTACCAAGTTATGAACACAAAATTCAGGTTTCAGGGATTGACTCAAATAAAATCGCTTTAATGTAAATTTTCAGGTATCAATATGACAATAAACAGTCACAGCAGTGTGCTAGGCCCAAGATATTCACCTGTGGAGCAGAGATTAAGCGTCTTAAATGCCATGCCTCACCCAGGTCTCCCACATCCTCACCCTACGTTGTCTAGCCCTAGAAGAGAACCCATTGCTGGGCCTTCAGGGCTACCACCGATTCAACAAGTTCCATTGGTAAGTACACTGTGTCAACAAATAAATAGTTATATATTAAAAATAATTAGTATAAATATAGTTTTGAAGCAAATAAGAAAAATAATTGACCATTCTGCTCTGCATTCACCCGTGCGACTTAATTAAAGATAATACAAAAAAGCAACTCTGCAATCATATAGGCGTTTAAAAACTTTTTTTTTATCTATTATGTGCACAAAACTTAGTGTGTGAATTAAAATTGTTTTTAATCATTTTTCTTTTGTTGTAACATTCAAAAGATTTTTATTTTCCTGTAAGTCATAAATCAGTTTTTCTGTCATTATTTTCTTAAGTAAAAAATTAATGTTTGGTGTTAACAAAAAGTAAAATATATTCAAACAAATTGTTGGTATGTTAAATATATTTTTTGTATACATATGACAGAACTGTTCATGAAACTAAGGTATTATTGTCATAAAACTGGAAATATGCTATTTATCACTATTCACAAAAATATTTTTTGCTTTCTGATATTAGTTGAGTAATTATATTGTGGGCTTATCCACTTATTTTTTTTGTATATTTATTTTATTTTTAGTCTCTGAAAAAAGAAGTAGACTGGGATAGGAGTAATGAAGACAAAGGCGGAGGAGAGTCTTCATCGGAGTACAGATTGCAGCATGAATCAGTATGTATCTTCTTTTTGAATAATAAATATGGTTGTTGTAGATTGTGTATATACATTCAGTGATTGCAGTAAAGTCATATATTCTATTGACTTGATTTTGATTTATAAATAAAACTATCTAGGTGTAGTTAGTGAAAGTGCATAAAAGCTGCAAAAATGTGAGTGGTTTCTGGAATATTTTAAAAGAAAATATATAAAACAATACAAAAAAAATGTATGTGGATGTGGAAAAATAGATAAATCAGTGAAAAATAACACCTAGTGGAATGCTGAGATGATGGAGTTGCTAGTGGAGGAAGCTGATTGGGAAAACTTTGATGTGAGGAAGCTAATAGGAAAATTTCTGTTTTTTTGTAAAAGCAGATAGTATGAGATCCTACTTTTTAAATCTTCATTTATATGTTTTTTAATGAACCTTATATCATTCGAAAAAGAATGATGTAAGGAATCAAAATAACATAGCCAACTCTCAGTTATTCACAACTCATGATGTATTTCTGTGGCTGCTGCAACAACAAACACAAAAAAATAGAATAAAATTATTATTTAAGAGAGCCGCCATACAACAGACATTATTTTTTTACTGTCAGCACTTTTTACTCATTAATATTGATAGTTACATATTTAAAATCTTCATAGATAATGTATTTCTGATTCTGGTATAACAACAAATACTAAAACCTAGAATCAAATAAATATTTAAGAGGGCTGCCATACACTAAAAATACCTTTTTGCTTGTTTTCGGTACAGAACCTTTTGTGCGCGAGTTTGACTTGTACTTGGCCGGTTTAAATGTAGATAAGAGAATATACTTTTTCTTGATATATAATTCATTTGAATAGCACGGAAGTGTAAATAATGAGATATTACCTGCCTACACCTGACAACCCATGGGTTGTGGCTAACTGATGGCCGGCAACCATAGTTATCTGGATTCCCTACATCATTATTTTTCAAGTGTGGGGTTCAGTAAAAAATATACGACTAAAATTGTTCACAAAAAGAAGTTACAAAAATATATTATAAATAAGTGTGGCTTATTTTTGTCAGGTAACCTTTGGTGATATCTATTCTACTATCTGAAATCTATCATTAAAAATAAATTTCATTTAAAAATGACTAAGAAGGAAAAATAATTAAACGCTAAAATGTCAGAAATGAGTCACTTGTAGTAATTTCTTTTTAATTCCGTATTCAAATATATAAAACAAACAAAAAGGTTGTTAAGGTTAAAATCTCCACGGCAAAACATCATCTGTTTGCATGCTGTGATTTTGTTTCATTTTTTTAGTGACAGTGTAGATTTCATAAAAAAATTACTAAGAAGGTAATAATTAAACGCTAAAATATCAGAAATTAGTCACTTGTTGAAATTTCTTTTTTCAAATTAGTAATTCTGTATTCAAATATATAAAACAAACAAAAAGGTTGTTAAGGTTAAAATCTCCATGGCAAAACATCATCTGTTTGCGTGCTGTGATTTTGTTTCATTTTTTTAAGTGACAGTGTAATACAGTCTTTATTAGTGGTTTTTAAATTCTGATGTTAATTATTATATGAAGTTAAATAATCTGCAAACTCTTACCACAATCTTAAAGATGATTGCTTGACAAGTATACAATTTAATTTGAAGAAAATGAATATTACGATATTTGAAAAAGATTACCAAAACAAATGTCAGGTTAACATTTTATGATGCAGTGTTCGATCAAGTGAATGAATGATACTGTATACTTTGGACCTTTGACAGAAATGGAAAGTAAACCGCTAAGATAGAAATTAAAGTGAATTCTGGAAACAGTGTAAATAAAGAGTTTAAAAAAATTCTTAGCAGGAAAACCTTCAGCAGCGAGAGCGGCTATACACAATGCTGTACTGATTACTTTTTAAAACTGAATTTTTTATATTTAATAATAATTGATATATCACAGTAAAATCAAATAACATACAATAGTATGTTTTCCAATGATTTTTAGACACTTATTGCAATCACTGGATGAATCAATGTTGTGACTCTTAAAAACTAATATTTTGTTTGTTGTAAATATTATGTTTCAAACGTTGGCTTGCTTTATAATAGTATTAGTTGTGAGGTTGTTACACAATGATAAATTATAGAAATCCTCCTATATTTCGCTCGATAAAAAATAATGCATGATGGTGGACAAATTATTTAGGGCGGCCACGCGTACACGTTAAAGTCTTTTTAGCGCATGGTATGCGCATAATCTCGCGTAATGAATCCACCTCATATGTAACAAGTTCAAATGTGAGCATATCCTAAGCATACCGACTCTAACTTACTTATTATATGTAAACACTATTATTATAATTGCTAGCTTTATAGCGCCCAACTTAAAAGGTCACTTGAAAGCTGTAATTATCAGATGTTAAGATTTTTGTCAGGTTAGCCTTATATTTAAGAGGAATATTTCGTTTTTCATATCTAAGATGTTAGATTATAAACTTAAATATTTATTAGTGATTAGTATTCTATGTTTATACGATAGTTAATTTATTAATAATGCATGCTTGTTTGATATGCTGCGCTGTTATGAAAATTGAAGTACTATATGCCTTGCTGTCAAGAAGTTGACCTTCATTTTGTTGGCCATCATTTTTTTATCCGTTCATTTTCTTTGATATATATCTTTATATATTTGATCAGTTTCATTTTATTTTTTAAATTTTGGCCATATTCATGCATATTTTATTGTACGAATCATTGAATCCGTACGCGTGACCATCCGCGATACAACAAGGCATTTAACACGTAGTCGACTCCCGGGTCACTCCTGCACATTTTTTAAGCAAAAATGAGCGTCAACTTCTTAATTTAGATAGAGACAAATACAAAAAAAAAAAATACTGAGACTGCATCTCAACTTAGAAAGTAGTGGTAGAAATATTGCACACACTATGGTCCATGTGGAACTAGAGAGAAAAGAAGTTGATGTTCTTTTTTGTGGTTGCAGGAGTACGAAGGGTCCGGTAGGGGGAGAATTGAGGAAGGGGAGAGGGGTTACCCTTGCATACACTGCGGTGCTGTGTTTCCTCATCAGAGCAAATTGGCCAGGCATATTCTGACAACGCATACGCTGGACACGCTCAAGTACCGAGATGCGATACTCGGCCGGCAGATGGGGCTTCCTATGATCGGACAATACAATGAACCAACGTACATAAGTATGCCCACGGAGGAATCCCCTATAGATTTGGACATCGGGCCCGTGGAAGCTGGTAATGTAGTGCTGTGCAAGTTTTGCGGCAAGAGTTTCCCTGATGTTTCGTCTTTAATAGCACATCTGCCGGTCCACACTGGCGACAGGCCGTTCAAATGTGAATTTTGTGGAAAAGCATTTAAATTAAGACATCATATGAAGGACCATTGTAGAGTGCATACAGGTAAATATTTTTTTTGCATAAAATTTTATATTGAAATAATATAACATTATTGTAAATGGTTCAAGAAAATAGTACGTTTTCATTATAGGTGAACGGCCGTTTCGTTGTGTGTTGTGTGGTAAGACTTTCTCTCGGTCGACGATTTTAAAGGCCCACGAAAAGACTCATTATCCAAAGTACGCTCGGAAGTTCCTGTCACCGAGCCCGGTCGACACTGAAGAGGAGAGCCCTCACCAATGAGTCGGAGAGAGTTCCAACCGACACTTAGCCAACTATATCTTAGCCGATAGTACAAGCTACATCTGGACATAGTCACCAAACGGTCAGCGGAAAGTGATTGTCGTGAACAAAAGGAGGACAATATGTTGTAATTAGTTAAGAATGTGATTTAAAACGCCGCAACTGTGATCTGAATGATATGAATAATATTTGATATTTCACTAATAGATAATTGACGCATTAAGTTTGTCACACCTGGGTTGACTTCTAAATGAATACTAAGTTTCTTCTATTGTTTGCTTCTTGTTAAGGTTTTTGGAAATAGGTGCTTTCTTTACGCTTTAGATTATAAAATAAAACTCATTCCTATGAGTCCCTTAACGGCATAGCCAAAGTTAGCTAGAGAAGTTAAACTTCATTTGTTATGTTTAGTTGAAAATTAGATTGGCGAAGAAGCCTCTTCTTTGATTTGCTTATTTTAATGTGCCTGTTATGTCAAAGGTGTGTATTGTCGTTGTGTTATTGAGCCTTCGTAGAAGTTTGATTGCCATTTCAAAGCTTTTTTTATTATACTAAAATTAAAAATCTGCAAAATATTGTTCATCCGGCGGAACAGATATTTGTTTTATTTTTGGATCACAGAATACTTAACTAAGAAATCAGTTAATGAAAACAAAAAATACATGTTTCGGAAAAAATATGAATAACAATCAAAATCGCTTTTCTCTTGACATATCAAAAATTCAGTTACGTCGTATTTTTTAAATTCTACACCCGCAATTAGTAGACAAGAAAATGGCAAGTTTTTAAATTTCGTACCTGTTTCGTCTGGTGAGCTATATTGATTAAATGCAGACTTATATGTGGAGATTTGAGCATTTAGTATTGTAGATTCATCTCGAGAGTTCATTTTCATAGAACCAAATTAAAAAATAATAAAGAGTGCTTTTATTATTATTATTAGAGACCACACGAAAATAATGCACTCGATATAGTTCATAATGATTCAAAAAGTTAGGATTTGAAATTTATACTTATTTAACGTCTTTCAAAGTTACGACGCACGCTCCCCTGAGGTAATTCAAAAGCAATATTATGACATATAAATGTAAATAATATATAGTTTGATAATATTGGATTTTTAGGAGAATTATTAGTATGTAAATGCTTTGGTAGTAATGTATTCGGGTAACACGGGGAGAGGTGTGGATGTGTGATCATAGAAATCAAAGCTTTAAAGCCGTTTAAGTTCTGTCCGAAAACTATGCCTCTTATTCCACACATAATGGATCATTTTCATCGGTCGGTTAGTGGTTCAAAGTGATCGCCATCTGTCAAAATAGAACTAACGAATGATGAAAAATAAAAGAATTTTATAATTCTTTGAATATGTCGCAGGATTTTGATCAAAATCCTAGGATTCGGTCAGAATTCGGAGTATGACAAGATTACATTTTCATTTTATCATAATTTTGATAAAATATCTCGCAACACAAACGAGTAGCTCGGTGGCGTAGAGGATAAGCGCCGCGGCCCGCGATCGTAGTCATTGAGCAACTTTCGCAAGGGTCGGTCACGGGATGGGTGATCAAAAAATTATTATCTCGAGCTACTCCGTGCTTCGGAAGGCACGTTAAGCCGTTGGTGCCGGCTGCATTTGCAGTCGTTAATACCCTCCTATCCGCATTGGGCCAGCGTGGAGGGTCATGGCCCATCCTCCTTAACCATCCATAAGGAAGGCCTGAGCCCCTGCAGTGGGGACGTAAAAGGGCTGGTGATGATGATGATGATCTCGCATCGCGGTCGCATGTATGATCTAAACGTTATTATTGTGACTAAAATCAACTAAAATGTGGTGTTGCTCATTCTAAGGTCAGCTTTGATATTTTTTTTACGGATATTGAAGTTTTTGTTATGTGAACTGAACAAAACTTCCTGTATGATTCCATATTATAGGTCACGTGATAAGTTTGAAATTTAAGAAGCGTATAGTTCGAGGTTATTTTTTTCAGACCACAGAATTACATAACGCTAACTTTAAAACAACCTATTTCAGAAAATGATTAAATATCGGAGTTTATTATATTCTGCCTTTAATTTATAATTACTTAAAAAAGTTATAGCCAATATAAATTTTACGATATATAACATACTCCTAAACGAGTTTAGGTTTTTGATTAACAAACAAGGTTTGTTCAGAATTATGATAATTAAAAATATGTAATTTTATCATACTCCGGAATTTGATAAAAAATCTGTCTTTATCATAGTCCTAGAACGTATACAAACAAATGAACCATCTGACGCATGTACGATCAATGGAAGGTGTAAAGAAAATTCGTTTCGTCCGCCTCCCTCGGCTTTGACAGATATGCGATCACCATTATGGACCAATAAAATGACCTCATAGATAAATGTAAATGAGCCATAACGTAATACTTATCGGAAGCACATTTCAAAGCCTTTTATTTCATTAGGATTCAAGGGGCATAGCTGCACATTTATATAGTATTTATATAAAACTTTTTATCTATTTTCATACTACAAATAATATTGTTTAACCGTGTCAAATGCTTTGTATTTTTAATAGGCAAAGATGTACGTACATATAGCAAAAATAACAGCTTCGGGGTACGAGTAATGCTTATTCATCAATCGTACAAAGCATTTGAAAGTTATCACAACTGCTGTGTTCGGTAAATTCAACAGAGTCAAATACAGGGATATTTTTATGAATTTTGGTTTCGCATTGATCCTATTTTCATGTCTACTGGGTAGATATTAGAGTTGGTTTTACAATTAGCACAGTGTGTTCAGTAGTATAATGTTTATTTATTTTATCATCACAAATGACAATTAAAATCTAAAGCTTTGATTTGGAACTGATTGGATGTTGGCTCATTGTAGTTTGTAAGTTAACTTTGATAAATTTATTTGGTTTCTTGCTAATTTTGATTTGTCTACGGTACTCTCTGGCTGGTAATCCTCTATTTAGGAATATTAATCGCAAGTAATAATATATTAATGTTAATATTTTGAGACGTAAAATTAATTACACTAGTCGGTAGAAACTGAACATTTCATAATCTTTAGTACATATCATATTTTCTATCTTACCAAATAGTATTATTTATACGAATTTGTTTAAAAAAAAAAGAAAATAACTTTGTTGAAATCCATTATAGGGTATCGACAACGTTAATTTTAAATCATTAAATAATATGGTACCTATTTGACTTTAGGCGTTTAATGACTCTTATAATATATAATTAAAAGAATGGAAGTATTATGGTTATCTAATAGGTAATGGATCTGTGATATATAAAAGTAAGTGATGCTACATCCGGAGGTTTTAAAAATTTTTGATCTCAGTTTTTTTATACTTATTTTAAACGTGATATTGACTAAATGCAAGTGCAATGGTAGCTATATGTGCGAGTCAGAACATTTAAAATAAGTGAAATTAAATAATAACTACGAAGGTCTGTAAAAATGTGAATGTTTTTAAATTTAAACGTGGATCAGAGGTAGCATTATAATTTGATATTAACAGATCTCAGAGTTAAATATCCTTTATTAAAACTTAATCATATAGGTTCGTCGTATAGGATGTAAGGTGTAGAATTAAAAAAGAATAAATAAAATTGCATTTTTGCTGAAAATTTATATTTGCGAAATGAAATCTCGTGAAATGAAATTCCTTTTACGATCTTTTTAAACACCTAACATTCCGGAGAGATATCATTATATAAAAAAGATATAAATATGATAATTAATTTTTAATTAACTTTTTTGTTGCTAATATTTCTAATACTCTGTATTCCTTAACAATTTATGACATCGCGATAAGAATGGACATGAAACTGAGCTGATATTGGTTGTTGATTCGAACTATTGATCAGAATATTTAATTAGTTAGAATCTAAATTTTGCACCGATATGTAGGCGTCACTGAAGCTTATTTATTTTCCAATCTTAAAAGTTTCAAAAGCCGTGAGTACCGCAGCATTTCAAAATGGAAAAAGTCTTTGTTTTCATTCGAGTGGAATGTTGAGGTATTAGATATTTAAATAAATAAAAGTAGTCTTTTAGAAAGTTTTTCAAATAAATACAAAAAAGGTAATTTTTTAACTTTTTTTTTTCTTATGGATAAGGGTGTGTGCGGTTTGTGCTGGCCGTTTAGATACAATTAAAGCAACACAAACATTCCATTGTATAGGCTCTTGGATATTTACATTTATCTAGCCTGCGCACGCGTACCGACCACCCTTAAGTGTTTCTGTTGTTTTTAATAGAGATTGTTTTATTATATTTCTCTGTAAAATGTAGCGAATCGATTATAGTTAACGAAATTAATTGCGGGAAAATTAAAATTAACGTTGGTATATCTATGTTATAAAAGCCCGCACATGTAAAATTGCATTTTAGTATAATAGATTGGTAGATGCGCTACTTCCCGGAGCTAGATTTTTGGATACGTCATAAAACAAAATATAAAATTTAATAAAAAAAATATAATCATAAGAATGTTGCTATTTGAAAAGCTGCACTCTTTTTTATTTATCGCAGTCGAAGGTTACCAAACTTAGCAATATTGAAACCTTGATTAATGTTCCTCTTCTTATTTTAAGAAAGATTGAATATTTACAATTTACAGAAAATAATTAATAGCAATAAATAAATGATTAACGATGATACGAATTAAAAACAAATTTGTACGAGTTTTTATCGACATAGTTTTTTATAATAGTACAGAATGCAGTTTTAAAATGCTATTTTGTTTCCTAACTTTCAGAGGTACTATTTATTAAACAAATAATAATATAAATAGAATTATATTTCTATGTATTAATGTATATATACATATATAGGCAGTGCGGTGAATGTTGTTAGTGAATTGTAACATACATGAGCAATAGATATATAACTACCCTCAAGTGCAGTTATTCAAATTTTAACATTTCGCCAGTTACCGCCCACGTCCCTGGAAAGTTCACACGCCGTTAGCACAAATTAATATAATTATTATATATAAATTTTATTTATAACCTTACCGAGCATGATATTGTTAAAGAGAACACTTAGCACTAAATATTTCATGTGTTGAAATAGAATACAAAGTAGATTCTTTTTTATAATAATGAATTGTGACCACAGTTTTATATTTAGAGTGCCTCTTGCCTATACAAGACTTATATAAAGGCTGCAAATCACGGAATATACATAGTATATGTAGCGAATAGAGGTAATTGTGTAATTTTTATGGTGAAAATTGTAAGTTGCGTTATGATATGCGACTTGCGCGCAATTTAATTTTCTTAATTTCTGTTCGCAGCAACGTGTACCTTAATCTCCGTAGCTAGCGCATTCCAATCTTGTGATGTTTTCAAACTTTTTTTAAACCCAGTGCAAAATTATTTTCGTGACCAATTTAACAATAGATTTATTTTATATATTCATAGTGTTAGTTATAGCGTTGTTAAGTTTCGTCCATAAAGAATGTTGTAAGAGGATGTGTAACTGGTTAGTACCATTTTTTTAAGTGGCATACCTAAATATAGAACTTAATTGCAATTTCTCTAAGTTCCTGTAGGCGTATTAATTATTATTTTATTATTGTATATTGGTACAATTGTTTTAATAATTATAATGTGTTTATTATAAATTATTTAGGTTTAATATGTCGTGACTTATCATTTGTATTAGCGTAATATATGCTCGTCGTCATCTCGTATTATTGTAGTTTTTCCGTTTGAGAATTGCGTTGCGTGTTTAGTATACTGAGCACTTGAAAAAGTTTGTGATGATATATTTCGTATATTGTGCTACTATAAATTATATTCAACACAAGTTCAAATAACGTAGATCCACTTAATTTATAAAGCTTAATAATTGTTGCATATTCATTGAATTATCAGTAATTAGTTTTCTTTAAGCTGGTTTATTTAACATTCATTGTTGACATTTTAGATTAGATTAAAATCTGTTTTGCCTTAACATTATTAATAGTCCATAATGTTGTAACAAAGAGCAGTACAGTTTTGTTAAACGAGAACATAGACAGTATCTTCATATTATATCAAAAAGATCGAGGATCAAAGTGGTGTAATGTTTTGTCAATTGTGCAACAGTATAAACAAAGACCCATCGCTGTTGATCATTGTAACTTTTGAAACAAATATAAGCATATCATAGCTGTAAAAATACAATTTTGACAAATAAAAGCTCTACAATCATTACAGAATCTTGTTTTTTATTTTTATTTTTGAAGCAGTTTTCTCTCTATAGTGACAGGTACGTAATTGAAATTTAATAAAAACTCTGTTTGTGGACCACATGTTCACTTTGTTTTTCTTTCTTTTGCAGATGTGTTTGGACATGTCTTGCAGTTCGCCGAGTATTCCGAGTCCTATTCCGCCTCGTAGCCCAACTGCGCTACCACTGTGGTCTCCTCTGTTGGCCCTCCAAGCTTGCCGTCTTCGACGTTACCTTAGCGACGACTGTATGGCTTACCAGAATAGACATCTTTTGCACTCCGACAGACGACGTTGTGGCGTCTGTCTCGCGTCATTCCCTTCCACATGGCTCTTAGAGCGGCACGCTGCACTACAACACGCATCACAGACCTCCTGCGATGACAAGCCTTTTGTCTGCGAACAGTGTGGTCAGAGTTATCGATACAGATCTGCATACGTGAAACATCGAGAGCAAAATCATCGAGCTAGACTGCCAGCTGACAAATTATTCACTTGCGACGTCTGCGGAATGCAATTTAGATACCTAAAATCCTTCAAAAAGCATCGTCTTAATCACACTTTAGAAAGACTCCACACGAAGAACACAGATCAACCAGAAAGCATCGAGCAAGTATCTAGCACCAACGAGGCGCTGATCGGTCAATGCGGTGAAATGGATTTATCTATGAAAAAGAGAACTAGGGCTGAGGAACCATTAACACCCCCCATCGAAGTAATCGGGGATGCTGAACAAGATAGCACCGTCGACTCGAATGGTCCGACCGACTCTGTGATGACAGTCGACGATTCTGCTGACTGCAAAAACTCAGAAACTGAAAGTAAAAAAGGAGACGAGACCGCTTCAGAAGAGAGGCGACGCGTGCCAGTGTCCTTCGCTAGCGTCAGCTCCATGGCGGACAGCTCGGAGAGTGAGTCGCGTGGTGACAAACACGAAAGTTCCAGTTCTCATTCCGGCATAGTCGGTTTTATGCCTACGGACGACAGGCAACGAGACAGGGAGAGGCGCTTTGCATGTCCTTTTTGCGGGAAGTGCGTTAGATCTAAGGAGAATTTGAAGTTACACGTACGCAAGCATACGGGTGAGCGGCCGTTCGTTTGCTTGTTCTGTGGGCGGGCGTTCGGTGGCAAGAGTGATTTGACGCGGCACCTACGCATCCACACGGGCGAGCGCCCGTACCACTGCGAGGCGTGCGGTAAGTGCTTCGCCCGAGCAGACTACCTCTCTAAACATTTGACAACACACGTTCACAACGCTCGCTGATCGTTAACCACGCCGTCCTCTTGTCCATCTCCATCATACCTCTATAGTAAATGACAATTACAATAAAATAACAGTCGAACGGAATATTTTTTAATGACGTTTTTAAAGTTAACCATAATGTAAGCAGGTATTTAATTAAATCTCTATGTTTTTTTTCTTTAAAATGTTTCATGGAATTAGTTAATTCTTCTTTTAAATTGATATCGGTGGATAAAATTCGCTTTACAGTCTTGTGAAATTTAATTCTTAAAGTATAAACCAACCGATGTAAAGCTTTTACTCGACTTTTTTATTTCTCATAATTACATTGATCATAATTACAAAAACGTGAGACATTTGGCATAGCGTGGAAATTTTTTACGTTTATTTTGAACGGTCAAACATACATGTTTTTTACTTGTAACGCTTGCAAAAAGGTAATGTTTTGCCATATTTTTATAATCCCGTGTAACGTAAGATTTATAACTCATTCCATTGAAAGGAAATTAGAAAATTGGTAGTCGAGAAGATAGGTAAGTAGAAGAATGCAAAAAGCTGTGATTCGTACGATTAAGACCAGTCAAACATGTTTTAGAACATCGAAAAATGTTTTATCTAATTTAAAATAATTTTAACACCTAGTAATATA